AAAAAAAAAAAAAAAGGAAAAAGAAAATGGCTTCCAATCCAGATTCAAACTAACAATGCAAAGAAAAAACAAAAAAAAAAGAAAAGAAAGAAAAAGAAAAAAATGGCTTCCAAACTCTCTTCTCCCAAACTCAAAATTTCATTACTAGGGGGAAAAAACCCAAATAAACAAAAACAAATGCAGATATTTATACCATAATTCTCAACCTTTAAATAGGACAGATGCCACCTCCAGGTCAGAGTTAACTTGATCTTGAATATTTTTACTATCCTCTTCATTCAATGACTTCACAAATCGAGAACACACATTCATATCAAATCGGTTAGGCAATATGAATTTCATTCCCATGGCAACACCCTGAGCTGATCCTTCTTCTGAATTCGGGTCCAGTGGATGTTCAATTTTAATATCTGGCATGCCAGTTAGACTATAACTGCTGGGACATTCTTCTACAATCAGCTGGGCGCCAATGTCCAGATTTGTGGATGTAGCCATGACTTTACTTATAGTTTCAATAATTAAAACATTTCTTCATTATTTCCTCTTGGCTTTATATGAGTGGTTTCCAATGTATTCTTGGAATTTGAATATTAAAAAATCTGAAAAAAAATTAGAAAATGTCATCAATTTAGGTAAACTTAGGTATTAACTCAGGTAAAAAAATAAAAAGTCATTATTTTCAATCAAGTATCCAAATAATGCTCTTTTAAGCAATAGAAAATATACAGTGCTCAGAGGTAGAGAAACTTGGGTATGAATCCAAGCTTCATCATTGATTAGCTGTGTGACCTGCGTTAAGTTACTCAACCCTTCTCAGCCTGGCTCATTTATAAAATATGGATACCACTGTTAACCTTGCAGGATCCTGGTAAAGCCCAAGTGAATACTGTATAGTAAATTCTCATCTCCATCACTACATTCCAACAAATTTTAGTTACTGTTTCTCCCTTTTCCCCTATCTGAATATTGGTAAATGGATACAAGATCAGGTTAATGAAAATAAACTTTCGGCTTGGCCCCTGCCAACTAAGGCTCCTGCCACATACACTAGAGCTGGGGGGGTTCAAATCGAGCTCAGGCCTGCCAAACACTGACAACTACAACCAAAAAATAGCCAGGTGTTGTGGTGGGCACTTGTAGTTCCAGCTACTTGGGAGGCTTGAGGTAAGAGAATCTCTTAAGCCCAGGAGTTGGAGGTTGCTGTGAGCTGTGATGCCATGGCACTTTACCCAGGATAACAGTTTGAGGCTCTGTCTCAAAAAAAGAAAAGAAAAGAAAAGAAAAGAAATTTTCAAATTAAAATTTTAGGCTCTTACCTCAAGTTTACTTTTTTTTTTTTTTTTGAGACAAGAGTCTCACTATGTCACTCTCAGTAGAGTGCCATGGCGTCACAGTGCACAGCAACCTCAAACTCTTGAGCTTAAGCAATTCTCTTGCCTCAGCCTCCCAAGTAGCTGGGACTACAGGTGCCTGCCACAATGCCCCGTTATTTTTTGCTGCAGTTGTCATTGTTTAGCTGGCCTGGGCCGGGTTCGAATCTGCCAGCCTCAGTGAATGTGACCGGCACCATAACCACTGTGCTATGGGGGCCGAGCCTCAAGTTCAGTTTTTTAATATGCTATGTTCATAAATGTAGCTGTCAGAATTTAAGAAAAGATATAACCCACGTTGTACCTAAGTTTGTTGGCATTATTATCTATAACACCTGTAACTCTTAAACTATAAAAAGCTTTACAAACTTTGGCTTTGATGAATTGAAGTTATATTAATCAGTTTTTGTTCAGATCAAGTGCTTTCAACTTGATATAGGCTTTTTTTGTGGTTGTTGCTTGTTTTTTTGAGACAGAGCCTCAAGCTGTCACCCTGGGTAGTGTGCTGTGGCATCACAGCTCACAGCAACCTCCAACTCCTGCCTCAGCCTCCCAAGTGGCTGGGACTACAGGCGCCCTCCACAACACCCGTCTGTTTTTTGGTTGCAGCCATCATTGTTGTTTGGAGGGGCCGGGCTGGATTCAAACCCACCAGCTCAGGTGTATGTGGCTGGCACCTTAGCTGCTTGAGCCACAAGCACCGTGCCTTAATATAGGCTTTTATGAAAAATAAAACATATCAATTATGCATTGACTTTCCAAGACATATAATTGTTCTGGGTATATTGTCACTCGAGATAGGAAAAAATTAGTAACATTCAGTTAATTTTTTCATGTTAAGATTTGTTGCCTCTTAAAAACTGAGAGTGCATGGTGTTTTAAAATTGGAATTAAAAGAGTTTAAAAGACATTGCATTTACAGAGGAGCAAGGCTGGCAAACCATACATTTACAGACAACCACTTTTTACAGTTTTAAAAATATTTTCAAAGACTGGTCCTTATAACAATCCTTTGAGTAGGCATACAGGTAATTATTATGTCCACCTTACTAGGAAAAAAAGCTCATAAATTATTAATATTATTCTTTTTTTTTTTTTTTTTGCAGTTTTTGGCCAGGGCTGGGTTTGAACCCACCACCTCGGGCATATGGGGCCAGCGCCCTACTCCTTTGAGCCACAAGCACTGCCCCAAAAGCTCATAAATTATGAGGGACTTATTCCATTACCGTGACCATAAAAATAAGCAGCAGCATTAAACAAACTCAAAATTTCTACAGGAGAGAGTTGAATAAATAACTAGTTAAAAAAAAAAGAAAAGCAGTAAGTAAAAAAAATAATATACTTCAGAAGAAGGAAATCAGAACAGAAAATTAGATCAGTGATTCAAATGGAGATGGATGTATAAAACATAAGTCCTCGAGTCCAAAGGGGATTGCACAAAATGAACTGTTTCCTAAAGGAAGAACTATTTCTATCACTTTCCTACTCAGGGGGGTGGACTGAGGTTAGCTATTCCCGGAGTTCTGTCAACACGCTGCATGTCTCTATTTTAGTATTTACCATTTTCTTCAAAATTTCCATTTCAACTTATACTAAATCGGAAACTCCACTAGGATAAGGACTACTTTTATTAATCTTTGCACACAAAGCAGTACTTGATTCTACCAGGTGCTCTATAAATGTTTTCTGATCTGAACTTTAGCAAATTTTGATGTCCTTTTCTAACATTTGCTGATTAGATTTAGGTTTCCATTCCAACTTTGCTAAAAACTAGCTTTGAAATCCTGGACTAATAAATCATATATTTTCTGAGATTCACTCATCTGTAAAATAAAGGCACTAAAATAGACATCTCTACTGTTCTCTCCAGCTCTAAACAGCCTCCACGTTATAAATCAAGGTTTACAGATGGGAGTTATCAGCCATTGAGGAGAGAAAGCAAATGGGATTTTGCTGGAGTGGGGATGTGTGTGTCGAAACAGAACGCTTATCTCAGCATTAGGGAGAAGCAGCAAACTTGACTGGTAGGCCAAGATTTTTGAATAGGAGATGGAGGGGAAAAAAAATATGACCCAGAGGAGGACACAGTGAGAAAAGGAGGTAAGGCATGGATAGTCAGGATCTCTTCCATCTGTCAGATTCCAGGGATGAAGGGAGATAAGAGTCCAACGCGATAGACTGGACCACTGGGCTAGTCCCTTGTGGGTGCTAAGAACAAGCGTCCCCATGGTTCTTCCTAATTCTGCCACTGCTCTGAAAGGAGAGGAAGGTGTCATGAAAATGAATGATGCCTCACAGGCGACAGGTGTCCCGGCGTTCCAGGACAGGAGCCCTCTGGATGGGAGACTGGTAGGGAAGGAAGTCCGCTCTGTCGCCAACGGCAGCTGTGCCCGAAAATTCCCCGGCGGAAACTCGCTCATCCGCGGCGGGCGGATCCCGGGGACGGCTGCGAGAGGCCCACCAGGTGGGATCGCAGGACTCTGCGACCACCTTCGACAGGAGAAAGTGAGTCGGGTTTTCTCATCTGTGGCCACAGATTCAGGGAAGGCTCCCAAGCCCAGGCTTGTTTGGGCCGCGACGTCACTTCCGATATCTTCTTTCGCTTTCTGGCCGAAAAGCGTTCCTCATCAGCGCAGCTGAGGGCATTTCCGGGTTTTTTTTCTTATTTATTTATTATTTATTTTCCCCGCCTTTACGCCTCTTGGTCCATCCGGGCCGAGTACTACAGACACAGGATCACCCAAGTGGACCGCTGTCTGGGTCACTAGACCCAAGGCCCAAACTTCTTCCCTCGGCCACGCCTCCTCCTGGTCGCCCCGCCCCCTGACCCGCTTGGCGTCTTCCGGGTGAGTCTTATGAGTACGCGCTGTTGCGTCATCTTCGCGCGACCTTCCGTTCACCGTGTATGGTCTGCTTCAGGGTCCGCGTGATTTTGCGCAGGGGCCCAGAACAGTCCGGGTTTTGGAGCTGGCCGGGTCTAATTCATTGTCCTGGGAGCTGGGGTGTCTCGCGGATTGGGGCCCAGCGAAGGTAGGTGAAGGCGGCGTGCATTGAGGGTAGCTGCAGGTTTCTTGTCTCTGACATGCTCTTCTGAGGCTTCCCAGCTCCGGAGCAGGAGAGCTAAATTCTTTAACCGGCCTCTTAAGTTCTCTTCACTTTAGCTTTGACCTAGATTTTCCTCCTGTATGATCACAGTCTCTCCCGTCCACTTTATTAGTTCCTAAAGTAATCAGCACCTTTCCAAGGCAGTGGACAAATTTCCAATCTCTGTCTTTGCTCGTAAGGTTTTCCGAGGGTTGAAGAGACCTTAATGAAATCTAGAAGGATTTAGGAATTAAATCAGACCTTGTTAACTGATTTGGATTTTAGGAGTGAGGAAGGACATGTCTGGTTGGGTCTAGATTAATAGCTGGTGCCAATCACGAACCAAAAGGGAGAACATTAGGAGTGAGGGCACATACTATGTCTGTTTCATTCCCTGCTGCATCCCCAGTGCCTAAAATAGTGCCTTAAACGTTGGTAGGTACTTGAATGAACGGAAAAAATGTCACCCCTTTAATCATTGACTGATCCGTTTCATCAAAAAAGCCTTTAAAAACGGC